GCATTCAGAGGCAGAAGCTTCCATACAAGGGCCGCAGGGATAAAGCACATCATGAAAGAGTGAGAAGTATTTTGGCACTTAGAACAAAATAAAAGCTGTTAAATAATTCAAAAATCATCCAAAACGAAGACGTACAAAATGTTCATCATTGGTTCGACTAGTATTTAAAGAGGATATATTATGCAAATATTCAGGTTCATATTTGTATTTTGTGCCTCTACCTGTGAAGTGAAAATAATCATAAATAATTATTAACAATCCATCAATTATTAGTACCACACTTCTACCGCAAATAAAAACTAGTTTATAACAAACTTAGTCCTCGCCGAGAATAACCTTAAAGGGGCCCTATTATGCTATTGTTCAGGTTAATATTTGTATTTAGTGCCTCTACTGTGAAGTGTCTCCATGCTTTAATGTTCAAAAAGCCCTTTATTTTTCTCACACTGCCTGTGCTGCAGCACCTCTTTTCACCCTCTGTCTGAAACCAGAGCCCAGTCTGCTGATTGGTTAGCTGGCCTGATCTGTTGTGACTGGTCAACTGCTTAGAGCTGTCCCGCCCCTTAGCCTATCACTAACAATGTGTTGAAGCGCTCGCTAATAGATGTGTGAGTGTTACATAGTGATGTCACTATGTTACAGAAGTAAACTCAGGAGTCGGATGGAGGCGTTTTCAGGCGGCAGGGGGGAACTTAAGCCTTTACAGACCATGTACATGCATAACCTATATAACACACCCCAAAAAGAAAGGAAAACCCCAAAAAGCATGCACCCCCTCCCTGTCTGACCGATAGCGATGGAGCGCAGGTAGAGCCGCTCTGCGTCGTCGTACTGGTTCATGTCGTAGTTGTAGAGGGAGGCCAGGTGACCCACAGACAGAGCCACTTCGTAGTCCTCATGGCCCAGAAGCTGCTCCTTGATCTGGATGGCTTTGATGTGCATCTCCTCCGCCTCCTGATTCATGAATGAACATACACCTGCTTTGAGTTTTCCCAGTCATATCTTAAAACAAAACCCATATTGAAATTCAAGCAGGTTTTGATTCCTTCAAATCATACTTCCTTTTAATTGTGGCATTTCAAAGGTCATTTTCAATAGCCGCGTTCACACCGCATCAGAACCTTTTTTACCCCGTTTTCAGTCCCTGCTAGAGAGCAGGTACTTTCGTGGGAGAAAAAGGTTCCTATGTCTGATTAGATGGGTGGATTGCAAACCACACCCCGTAAAACTCCCAAAAAGTTTTGTGAAGCCGCCATTTTATTATCCTCGCATTAGCATTATTAGCATTAGCATTAGCCCNTGATTGGCTGGGCGGAATGCAAACCACACCCCGTAAAACTCCCAAAAAGTTTTGTGAAGCCGCCATTTTATTATCCTCGCATTAGCATTATTAGCATTAGCATTAGCCCAGCGCACAAACGCAGAGAGACTAACTTATGGCAACACAAAAGAAAACATGGGAGCGGTAGAGATGAGGAGGTGTCTGTGTTCTGGCGATTTACTCGGAAGGCTTCAGTAGAAGCTGCTGGGAGTCCCAGCAGCTTCTACTGAAGCCAGTTCCCAACTCCGGGGACTTCTGGCCGGGGACTTCGGGTGGCAGTTTACGCCGTGAAGTTGTTTGCGGCCTGCCAGTAAACCCAAAGCAGAAGAAGAAGAAGTGATGTCAGCGGCTTCATTTGCCTAATCCTCCCTCAGGAACTTATTCTGGTGTGAACGCGATCTGTACTTAGTTAATGAGAACTAAAGAGTTCTCATGAACTAAGTTCTGATGAACCTTTGTGGGAAAAGTACTGCGGTGTGAATGCGCCTAATGTAAATTATGGGGGATGACATTCTCAGTACTTGTAATGTGCAACAAGGATTTCCACGATTTGTCTAAAACCGATATTTCGTCATCCAAATGTGTCCATTATGTATTCCAAAGTTGGTTATAGCACATAATTCACTCTTTTCTAACTATCCTTCATTTGTAGCTCAACATGAAAACACGAATGGGTAATTTTATACAGAAGACTGTCACTTTGCTTCCTAGCGAAAAGACTAATCTGTGAGCTTGATAACGCCCGTTGAAAAATCAGAAATTAGAAGTTATAACTTATATATATTTGTGAATTGATCTTGACATTTGAGGCTAGTTACGTTGAATTCAGTTGCTTAAGCCTCAAATTAACTTCAGATTAAGTTTAAGATGTATTCTTTACACAAACAATATATAGAGTTTAGAAGATATTGCACATAGTAGGCCAAGTGACTGTTTCAGCTGTATGGTGTGTAGTGGCAGTGTGAGCTCTTGGATTATACATTAGATTAGCATTATTTTTGCATTATATACCAAGAAAGGCAAGAACAGTTGAGCTATTTTCAGTTAGTTTCATGTTACCTTAATAATTCATTGTTCTATGCGCACGTTCCTCCTACCTTGAACTTCCTCATGGACTGGTAGAGTCGTCCCAGGTTGCCGTAGTGTTTGGCGGTCTGGACGTTGAACTCTCCAAAGGCCTTCTTGGCCAGCTGCAGGGAGGACAGGTGAAGGTCATGAGCCTCTTGAAGGAGGCGCTCCTCTGTCTCCTTATTGTGGCAGTCAATGGCGATTTCCTCCAGAATCAGAGCTGAGGGAAAAACAAGATGAGGAAGCAGAGATCAGACTTCTGCCCAGGGTTTAACAGCGGAGCCACAGCGTCGTGTTAGGGTTTGGTGCGCAAAGTTCATTTTTACATTTCAGATGCATCATCCCTTTACTGTTCTCATTCGCTTTTAAGCGGCAATTAAGGAGGTCACGAGAACCAGTACAACGTTTTTAAACATTGCTATATGTTTTTCAAACAAAAGTAATAAAGTAGTTTTCCAAAGTAAGTATTGCATGTTGGGGGGACTTGAGGCGGCGCATTCAAATAATATAATAATAATAAATAAGAACCTTTTGAAGTTAACCATAGCTGTCAGAGGGGCTACTGACTTAAAACGTGTTAAATGGGCTAAGGTTGAGTATATAATTATCCTAATGTGTTCAAATGTTATCTTTTTGTCTCTTAAGTTGACAGTCAGAGCAATATCGAATAAATATTGGAAAGGAACTTGTGACCTTAACTTTCTTCCAAAAAGCAATATTAAAATATAATAAAAGGAGTTTATGTTGAATAACAATTCCTTTTACTGTGTTTCGGAATCGTGGAATTTCACCTCATTTGTTTTGACATCAAAATGTCTGGTATTGTGACATTCATGGTATTTACTCAATACGCACGCCAAATCATCTGGCCCAGCCGAGGGAAAAATGTTTATCAATGAGAGAACTTTATTTGATTATGTTAAAGTGAACTGTGGAATAAGTGAACTAAAATAATTCAGAATAAACTATCAAGCAATATCTCCGTGGTGATGACACTCACTGGACTGCATGCATAGTCCGCATTCAAACTAATTCAATGGCTGACTCATGGCCCCCTCAGAGCTTATTTATTGTTGACCATTCAACTGATAAAAAGTTATATTTTGTAGCAAATCACTACTTTTAGATGTAGTTTTATTTGATTCTTTGAAGAGTTGTTTAAATAAAAAATGTAATTTGTATAGTTAAACATTTTTTTAAATTAGACAAAAAAGCATCTCATGATCCTCCCCTGCCATTCGCCTCTCTAACCCTCAGCACAGTGGGCAGAGGACCAGCATGTCTGCGTAACTTGCTTTACCTTTGACTCTTTTGGAGGAGGCCAGCAGCAGATGGTCCTCGGGAAGAATGTGAGTTATGATGTCTATGGCACGTTCTGCATGAAATCTGAGAGACAAATACATGTCAACAGGCAACTCAGATTTGGCGGGATTCAGGATAAACACTTCCAAGAAAGTCAAGTATTTCCCCTGATGGAAGTTGTTTGGAACCTTAAACCAGGGTTAGAGAGGTCAAAGCCTTACCCAATTTTAAAACAGGGCCTTTGGAAACAAGATAGGTTACTAGCATCAATTAACAAATACAAGAAAAACACCACTATCCATGCCATTTTGACATCATCTTTGTTACAGGGTTTCCGCTAGGATTTATTGTTGCCGGTCAAACGTCCGGAAATAATTAATTTTACCAGACAAATTTGAAACTTACCGGTCATGTTCAATAATAATAATAAGAATTGTGTAGCAGAGTTTCCGTTGGCAGGTAATTACTGGACTAGGACCGGATATGCTGATGTTTAAAACTCAGTTAATGGGAGTCATTTTTATATTGCTTCAGTTTATAAAATCGTAACAGATCGAAAAGTTCAGATTCATTCAAACAACAAACAACATAATTATTACATTCAAAGAAGCTACTTGTAGTAGATAAAGTACATTATTCAAAAGTTTACATTAACTTTGAATAATAACACGGGAGAAACGGACCCTCTCTTTTCCTCTCTCCCTCCCTCTCTCTCCTGACAGCCCGTCAGTTTCTCATGCAGCACGCTAAACAGTGGGCGGGGCTTCAGGTGATCATGCAGAGCTGCGTGTCTCAGCAGCAGCTGATCTGATCTCTCTCTTGCGTCCTGTTACACTTCACTCGCGTTTATGTCCATATCGATCAGATCCAGCTCTCCTGATCGGCCTTTATAGAGAGCACCGATCAAACTATTAAGAGTGAATATCGGCCGATAATGATCGGCGGCCAATCGATCGGAGCATCGGACATTTTGACCAGCAGGTTTTAAATTTACCGTTTTTATTCAATTTTACCAACTAAAAACCGGTAATTACCGGCTAACGGAAACCCTGAGGTCTAGTACTAATTGTCTGTAATGATCTGCGTTCAAAAGGCAGCCTTTGATGGGGAGGGGGTAGGAGACCAAGAGTCTAGTCCTTTTGTCTAACAGTCAGAGGTGCACGTGACTGAAAGGCTAAGGCTCAGTAGGCTCAGTCTGTAGCCTCCAGGAGCAGACACACTTATGGCGCATTCACACTACAGCGCGGAGCTCGCTTTAAGCGTGCCGAG